ATAGGGATGAGAAAACAGCATTACTTGTTGGCTCTTGCTTTCTGTCTTGAGACAGGGTCTCTCACTGTTCACCCTGTGTATGTTGGGCTAACTGGCCTGTGAGCTTTAGAGTCTCTTCTGTCTCTGCCTTCTTTCTGTAGGGATGCTGGGGATTACAGACCCATGCTGACTTTGCTTGGGCTATGTGTGTCCAAATCCAGGCCCTCACATGTGCATAGTGAGAGCTTTACCTATTGAGCCATCTTGCCAGTTATTTTATTTTTATTTGTTTTTGAAATTAAGAAGTTTCATCTAAGTCGCCTAATTCCGTTGCATAATGGTACAACATTCCTTGATAAGTCTTAGTTTTGTGAGGCTGGTCGTGTTTTTCCCTCTTTCCTCCTTGACTTGGCTAAATGTGTGTCTTCTTGGTGATTTGTTAGTGTGACACAAATTTTGTAAACTGGTTAATCTTTTTAAAAGCCCAACTTTTGGTTCTGTTGACTTTGATGCTTTTCTGCTCATGAGTTCATTCAGCTCCCTCCTAACCATAGTCTCACTGTCCAGCCCTCTCAGCTGAGGGAAGAGGGCTCTTAGGCTACTGATGTAGGCTCCTGACACAGGCAGCAAGGCCGTTCCTCCGCTGCCTTCTGTACATCCAACACGTTTTGATCTTGTGTTTTCATTTTTTTCTTTCAGCTCAAAACCTTGAACTTTCTTGTGTGCATTTTCACTTTGACCTGTGGTTTTTCAGAAGTGTGTTGCTTCATGACCAAATATCATTCCTTGAATTCGTTCCTCTCTTGGTTTACTCTTTCTGTTGTGGTCAGAAAACATAGTATAATTTTAATGTGTTTAAGTTTGTTAAGGCTTGCTTTGTGGTTTAGCATAAAGTCTCTGAAGAAGGCTCTTTCTGTACTTGATAAAGTTTGTGATCTTGTAATTTCTGGCTATAGTGTTCTAGGACTATTATTTTGTAGGATAGCACTGTTCATTGCTGTAGCTTTACTGATTTGTTTTTGTTGGTGCTGCTGTCCAGTGGTTTTATCAATTATTGAGCCTGGAGTATTGAAATCTCCAACTATTATTGTTATGTTGGTTTATGATTCCTGTATTTTGTAAATCTGCTATCATGAACACATACATAAATAATCACTCTATCAGGTAAGTAGAACTTTTAATCACCATAAAAATATTTCTTTATCTTTATAAACATGTTTCTTATTTATCTGCTATTCATAGTTTCCTTATTGACATATTTTTACACAGAATGCATGTTTTCCTATGCTTCTACTCTGAATGCATTTACTTATTCAGTAGCTAGCATGTGCACAAATCTTGCTTTTTTTTGCTAACAGGTTAATTTCTATGTTTTGAATGGAACTTTTAGTCCATTTATATTTAATATAATTACTGATATAGATAAATTTCCAAAAGCTAGTTTGTCACTTCTCTATAGATATTTTCTTTTTTATCATTTACTGTCTTTGTATGTAAATAATTATTTTTAGCATATTGCTCTAAATCAATATTGATTTCTTATTGCAAAAAATGTAGGCTATTACTTCTATCTTAACTTATCATAATCTCTTTAAAAAAATATTTAACGCCTTTACTGACAAGTGTTTATGGTACTGGAAGTTACTCTGCACACTACCAAAGGAGTAAGATACACCAATCCAGCTACAAACCCTGGGATCAACAATGGTGACCCACGGGCAAGCTTCGCTGGTTCAATAGTGGCACAAAAGTTGTGGAAGTAAGCAATCACTACGTGGGGATTTAAGGTTCACTTTATGAGCTGGAACCCATGCCTGATGCTACTCAGATGGCCAAGAATCTGGCACTGCGTAGGCCATGGATCTAAGGGAAAACCAACTACTACTGTTATGCTAAAGGAAGATAGGAATAAAATGGCTCCTAACAGTGTTCTGCTAAACTCATAAACCTCTGTCTTGCTCAGCCATTGACAGAGAAGCTTCCTTCCATGGTAATTGGGAACAAATACAGAGACCCACAACTGGACAAAGTGCAGAGAGTGAGAGACCTTGGAACACTTGGTCTTAAATGAGATGTCTCTCCCTGCCCTGAGGGCTCAGGAAACCCTGTAGACAAGGAAGCAGAAAGACTACAAGAGCCAGAAGGAGTGGAAGACACCAAGACCCAGATACAACGGGGCCCATGCACATATCAACTCACAGCCTATGGCAGCACGCACAGGGCTTGCACAGTGCTGAGAGGAGAGTGGACACAAACCCCTAACATGAACCTAGAAGCTCTCTCCAATTAACATACACTTGGAAAGGAAAAACTAGTTTTTTCCAATGGAGTCTCACTCGATATACAAACCACACTTAAGGGCTGGCCCCATGCCTTACAGTAGATGGTATTTTTGGAGGAAGTTTTGTGTCTCATGTTTTGTTTAGATTTTTTTTTAAAAGATCCTACAGGTCTTTTGCTTACATAGTATGTTTTCTGGTTTTGTGTTTTTATGGGATTTTTTGTGTCACAAATGTGTGTATGTCTCTGTATCTGAATATGTTTCTTGTGTTTTTTTCTTTGGCTCTTTTTCCTCCTTGTT